TGTTCTATAAATACCTTAGTCTTCTACAGACAAAATTTCAAACACACCCAATACTAAAGTTGCAAACTGCTGCATCCTATTCTGCCTTACTGCACGTATCTTAGTTTTGCTATCTCAGAGGTAGGAAAAATAAAAGTTGAAAACAGAAAATACAGATTTTGTAGTAAAAAGAAAGCCTTGTTACTTGAACAGAAATAATTCCAGTTGTGCAGCCATAGGTCTGTGACAGCAAAATAAAACAGGACTCCAGTGGCACCTGAAAGACTTAGCAAAACTTATTCCAGCATCATCTTTTGTTTCATGTACTCACAATGGAACAAACAGCGCATTAAAAAAAAGTTTTTTGTTATTAAATCATAGCATCATAGAATCACAGAGTTGGAAGGGGCCATACAGGCCATCTAGTCCAGCCCCCTGCTCAATGCAGGATCAGCCTAGAGCATCCCTGACAAGGGTTTGTCCAGCTGCTGCTTAAAGACTGCCAGTGAGGGGCAGCTCACCACCTCCCCTAGGCTGCTGATTCCACTTCTGAACTACTCTTACCGTAAAAATGTTTTCCCTAAGATCCAGCCAGTATCTTCCTGCCCATTATTGCGAGTTCTGCCCTCTGCTGCTAACAGGAACAGCTCCCTACCCTGCACTAAGTGACAGCCCTTCAAATACTCAAAGAGAGCAGTCATGTCCCCCCCCCCAACCTCCTCTTCTCCAAACTAAACATTCCCAAGTCCCTCAGCCTTTCCTCATAGGGCTGGCTTTGGGCCCCGGGGGCCCCCCCCCCCCCCCGATCATCCTTGTCTCTCTCCTCTGCATCTGCTCCATTCTGTCCTCATCCTTTTTGAAGCGAGGCCTCCAGAACTGCACACAGTACTCCAGGTGCGGCCTGACCAATGCAAATACAAATATACAAAATAAGGCATTTTATACTAACATGGTCAAACAGTACCATACAATTCCAGTATTTTCAATAATTAAGATAATGTGTTTGGTTTTTAAAAAAACCCAACCATGATCAAACAAATTCTGTTGATGACCAAGATAACTAATCTAAATGTAGATCTGTGCAGGAATATATGAATTAACACAGAAGACCATGGTTTTCTGTTTAGCAGTCAGTTTCACCACAGAAAGTAACTCAGTTTTTTTCTGTAGTCATGTTGCACTAGGTTTTCAGTTTTAGCATAAACAAATCTTGCTGCCACAATACATAACAATACTAAATTATGTACTGGCTGTGAAACGATATCTGTGTTAAATTTTAGAAGAAAAACCTTGGAAGCAGAAGATCCTGAGACTGAGCAGCAAATTTGGATAAGATGATATTGGACTATTCATTAGCTTATTCTCATTATACTCATTATGACATTAATTGTGAACAAAATTGATCACATTCAAACAATAAACATATTCTGTAAATACTAGCATTGGTTTCAACATGGTAGGGGAATAAGGTTCTTCTTTCTTAGTCTACGTCGCAGTCCTTGAAGGAGAAAGCTGCAAAGGTTGACCACGGGACTGGGTCAAAAGGACAGCAGATGTGGAATACTGGCTTCTAGTTTCTCTGCCAAGCTAGATCAAAAATTCAGGTAGGTAGCTGTGTTGGTCTGAAGCAGCAGTACAGAGTTTGAGTCCAGTGGCACCTTTAAGACCAACAAAGTTTTATTCAAGGTATTAAGATTTTGTGTGCATGCACACTTCCTCAGATACAATGAAATGGAAGTTACTAGTCCATACATATAGGCAGAGGGTGAGCAGTAAATTAACATACAACATAATGAAGATGTTTAATAGATTCAAAGACCAAACAGGAATAACAAGCTTAGTTTATAGGTTACCATTTGTTTGGGTTTAATTCCAGGGGAAAACATAGTGAAGTAAATAAATAGGTGAAAATTGGAGATTGATGGGCAGATGTGTCCTTAATTGTGGAATGCTGAGAGTAATGGAGCGTGGAGGCAACCTTACAGCATCCTCTTCTTTGAAGTGGGGGGATTGGCTGTGTAGTGTTATCTCCCCTGTCCCCAGACCAGAGAAATACATTCCAATCTACCATTCCAAATTACGTTACATTCTGCTATTCTAATCTACTATTCCAAATAATAAAATAAAGAAGACGTATGGACCTTCTGGGGGATTGCTAAGAATACAGATATAAGAACTGGATGAGGTTAGCACATGTAGTGGGATAAGAAACTAATATCCCTGTTAGGTCGTAGGAATTCCTTTGTTCTGAGTCTTGTAATAACTTGTAACTCAGCAATTTCTCTTTCAAGTCTGTTTCTGAAGTTCCTTTGCAATAAAACAGCTACTTTGAGGTCACCCATTGAATGTCCTGGGAGGCTGAAGTATTCTCCTGCAGGTTTCTCAGTCTTGTGATTCTTGATGTCAGATTTGTGTCCATTTAACCTTTGGCATAGGGTTTGACCTGTTTGCCCTGTGTAGAGGATCAAAGGGCATTGTTGGCTTTTAATGGCATATACTCCTGCCAACCTAGCAGTTCGAAAGCAAGAAACTGCAAGTAGATAAATAGGCACCACTTCGGTGGGAAGGTAGCAGCGTTCCGTGCGCCTTGGTGTTTAGTCATGCCAGCCACATGACCACGGAAACGTCTTCGGACAGTGCTGGCTCTTCGACTTTGAAACGGAGATGAGCACCGCAACCCTAGAGTCGGATTCGACTGGCTTTCGAGCAAGGGAGACCTTTACCTTTACCTTTTTACAGTGTTAGAAGATGAGCAAGTGAATAAGCGTGAGATGTTGTAGTTGATGTTAGGTGATGGTCCAGTGATTGTGTTATCTTGACTTAATCAGGTGTTATCTTGACTTCATCTACCTATATATATGGACTGGTAACTTCCATTTCATTGTAGTTGAAGAAGTGTGGTGTGCACATGAAAGCTTGTACCTTGAATGAAACTTTGTTGGTCTTAAAGGTGCTACTGGACTCCAGCTAGATCAAAGTCACCGGAGGAAGGCAATTAGCAGTTTGCAAGGAAAGAAGGCCTTGTTAGCTCCTCTTTTGAAGACAACAGCACACACTTTGGTGCAGAAATGTACGGGCTGAAGTGCTGTGTGTGTCTGCAGTACACACAGTCATTATTCTGTAATGCTTTATTTTGTATTACATAAACATTTTCATATGGTACATTATGAGTGAATGAAATTAATGTTGTAACCCTAGGTCATAACATAATATAAACATCAGATTCAGACATGCAGAAGAATATAGCATGAGTAAATACATTAAAACAGTAAATACATTAAAATACATGCATTAAATACATTAAAAATACGTAAAACATATGCAACCTCCGCTGCCAGGCCCACTGCAGCTTCCTCTCTCTGCTTCCCATTGTTGCTGCTGCTGTTTCTGGGCCTGGACAGCTCACGGCCTCTGCAGCTTCCATCCTGTCCATGCCATCACTGGGCCTGGTGTGGTTCGCAGCCTCTACTGCTGGTCTCACTTTGGATTCCTCCCCCCCCCCCACATCAGTGCTGCCACCACTGGGTCTGGTGCAGCTTGTTGCCACCAGGCCTGCAGTAGTTCCTTTCTGGCTACTGACTGACACTGCCGCCAAGGAGGAGGTAGATGGTTTTTATCTGGGGGGGGGATTTTAACCCCCCAGTGTATTATTTTAAAGATTGGGAATTTGTCTGCAAACGGCGGGGGGGGGGGGAGTTTGCCAGAAAATCTGTTTAGCATTGGCATGGCCCCGATCCACAGATTTGGATGTCTCCAGACCCGGGGGGGGGTGATGGGGGACAGGACACGTGGATACATAGATACACAGTTGGGCCAGGCTGATCCTCCCTCAGTGGCTGTGTTCCCTCTAAGCTGAGATAGTGTGAGCTAGCTCACAGTTTTTTACCTTCCTGCTCACACGTTTTTGTCTTAGCTCAGGAAGGAGGGCTCCAGAGGAAACTAATTATATGCAGTAGCCAAATGGCTCACTCACAACTCTAATGCCAGTAGCTCACAAAGTAGAATTTCTGCTCACAAGACTCCCACAGCTTAGAGGGCGCATTGCTCACTGGTAGTCTCGCTTGTGGGTCTGTCCTGTGGCCTTTACTCCACTGACCAGTTAGCAGAAGCCAGAGCGTCTTTCCCTTTCCCAGAGGCAGAGAGCAGCTTGTAAAAGGTGGTTCTTAGAGTATGTGTTCCTTGGGCGTTGCCCTTGCCATCTAGCGGCACTGTTCCTTTTTGTGTTAGAATGCCAGTGGCAATACCCAGTGAAACCCACAGCTGCTACAGTTGTTTGTTTTGTAGGAAGGCCACTCTGACTTTGTTGTTAAATAAGACCTGTGTCTGCTAGTTCCATCTTTAGTGTTCTGTTTTATTTGGGTAATATGAACAGTTTGGTTGAGCTACAAAAGAGGGATGATGCTTAGAATTTGCTCTCATTGCATAAAAGGGTCTGGCATTGACATATCCTTTTGTCGTTGAAATTTTTTCATTGCTTTATTACTACAAACATTACAAAAGGAAAGGGAAATAAGGGGTAATAAAACACTAACCAATAACACATAGAGATAAAGCAAGGATCATCATATCCACAAAGTTCTTGATAGTCGTTCCTACCATTATCAATATAAAAAAGAAATTGAATACAGGAATAAGACTGGCTGCCCTACATCGAGATTAATAAAGCTAGATCATTGGCATTGACATATCAAAGCTTGTGTAGGCCTCTGCCCCGACATCATGCCAGGCTGTGAAACAGGCAATAGTTTATCTGGGTGCTTGATTGCAAATAGGAAAGTGCTTTGTTTGCCGGCGAAGCCATAACGTCTGGCACATTGAGTTTGAAAATCCTGTGCATAGAGATTTTGTCATTTTTTTCTTGGTGTTCTTCTGATTTTGCAAGTTGCTTAAAGGGAGGCAAGGAAGGAAGCGTTGTTGGTGGAAATCTCGCATGCTCTCGATGTGTTGTGACTTGTCCTTTATTGTTTTTTGGTGGGCCTCTGAATTCTCTTTTGCTAACCGCCTGCTCTTTCTCTTGGCAGTTTCTGCCTGGCTCTTGCGCTGGCTGCTCTCCCCACAGTGGCTGCCAATGAAGAGGTACCTGTGACTCACCAAGACTCCTGGGGAGACTTCTGGCTATTTCGTTTCTTGGTCAATGCCGCAGGCTATGCAAGCATTGTGGTGCCAGGCTTCTTGCTAATACAGTATTTCAAGAAGAAGAATTACCTTGAGACAGGTAAGAAGCTGTAAGGGTAGGGCCTCTATGTGGAGATGCACTGCTTTCCTGATTCTGCTGATGAGGCACCTAGTTCACTCCTTCAGCTTTGCTCTTGCAGGCTGGAAACTCCCATCCATTGCTAAAAATGCTGATGGACTTTGTGTGGTGCCCAGCTTCACAGGCCCATCCCTTTAGCGAGCTCTGAATTTGTAGCTGGTCCCAGTTGAGTAAATTTGGGGAGCCGCAAGTGGCTGCCAAACCGTGGCCTTGTAGACAAGCTGCAGAGCCTCTGCAGAAGCATCTCTGTAACTTCTTGTGTTGCTGACAGCTGAGTCAGTCCGTCTGTCTTCTGAGCTGCAGCATCACTCAGTGGATTATAATGGGCTAGACAAGAGGCAGGTTGTGGGTAGAAGTCCCACAGGTAATCCAAGCTGGGATGATGATACCGCTCGTGGTCTCTTTTAACAGATGCAGTTTTTCCTCCCTGCATCGGTGTGCTTCATTACGGTGGCTAACGTCCTTTTCCTTCTACCTCTTAGGCCGAGGTGTTTGCTTTCCAGTTATCAAATCATGTGTTTTTGGCAACGAGGCCAAGTCAGGAAACCAGGATGATGCCTTGCTGGCAGCTCGGAATGAGACCGTAGAGTCCTCGACAGCCCGGCAAATTTTTAAACTACTGTTCTGTGCAGCGGGTCTACAGGTAAAAGAATGGGATGTGTTTTGCTCTGCTTTAACTGAGGCTGCCTGGTTGTGGTTAGGAATTAATGTTCACGTAACACTTGCGTTGTACGAAGTGCTTTGCAGTCATTATCTCATCAATCTTCACAATAATCCTGTGGCCAGGTTGCGACATTTTTACAAATGGGTAACAGAGAGTGAGAAAACGCCGTGCTGAAAGGTTTTTTTTCCATAGCTAAACAGACCATGAAGTTGGAACCAAGTTCTCCACCTTAGTTGTACTCTGTCTGAGCTGCTGGTTCCATTAGTCTATGCTGCAAGCTCAGTACTGATGTTTGCTGACTTGGAACCAAAGTGAAGGCTTTAGAATTGCATGGTTTGATCTTTCACACATATACCGGTAATTTCTGAATCAAGATCGGAACTTCAGGTTCAGTTAGATGAGAGATTTCTGATGCTCTAGTAAGATAAATAGTTCCACTCGGTTAGCGGCTGGTGCACTGGAAACGTTTTATGTGTATTTTGCCTTATCACTCTGTTTCTGCAGGATATGGATAAGATTTTGGGTGGTTTATAAGTAGGCTTTTAAAATAGATATTATTCCAAAATTAGAATCCAGACACTGGGTAGGCCTAGTTTAGCAAGTTTAGAATTGCTATAGTCCTTGTGATCTCTACCCCTCCCCTCCAGATAACAGCAGGTAGTGCCAAGTATATAAATTATGATGTGTCTCTGGGATGAAATGTATTGGTTGGGTCTGCCTCTTGGTTAGGTTATGGATATGTGTAGGAAAAGCTTTCGGTCAGCTTGCTTGGTTGACAGAGTTATCAGAAGAGTTAGAAAGTCCCTACTGGTCAAATTCTCCATCTTCCTGTGTCCCGTGGTCGTTTTTGCTTTCCTAAATTTATTTTTTCCTCCTGCTCTGCAGATTTCCTACTTGACGTGGGGTGTCCTTCAGGAACGCGTGATGACCAGAACATACGGGGCAACCGAGTCGGACCCTGGCGAGAAGTTCAAGGACTCCCAGTTCCTTGTCTTCATGAACCGGATCCTGGCCTGCACCGTAGCTGGCCTGTACTGTGCCCTGACCAAGCAGCCCCGCCACGGTGCCCCCATGTACAAGTATTCCTTTGCCTCCCTCTCCAACATCCTCAGCAGCTGGTGCCAGTATGAGGCGCTCAAGTACATCAGCTTCCCCACCCAGGTGCTGGCCAAAGCCTCCAAGGTGATTCCGGTCATGCTGATGGGCAAGTTGGTCTCGCGCAAAAGCTACGAGTACTGGGAGTATTTGACAGCAGCACTTATCTCTGTGGGGGTCAGCATGTTCTTGCTCTCCAGCACACACGACAAACATCTCTCCACCGTCACCACCTTCTCTGGTGTGGTCCTCCTGGCGGGCTATATTGTCTTCGACAGCTTCACCTCCAACTGGCAGGACGCGCTCTTCACCTACAAGATGTCCTCGGTGCAAATGATGTTTGGGGTGAACGTGTTCTCGTGTCTCTTCACCGTGGGCTCGCTGCTAGAGCAGGGCGCCTTACTGGAGTCAGTGCGCTTCATGGCCCGCCACTCTGAGTTTGCCGCCCACGCCGTGCTTCTGTCTGTGTGCTCCGCCTTTGGGCAGCTGTTTATCTTCTATACCATCAACCAGTTTGGGGCAGCTGTTTTCACCATCATCATGACGTTGCGGCAAGCCTTCGCCATCCTCCTTTCCTGTCTCATCTACGGCCATGCAGTCACTGTGGTGGGTGGGCTAGGGGTAGGCGTGGTCTTCACAGCACTTTTCCTCCGTGTCTATGCCCGCAGCCGCATGAAGAAGCGAGCAAAGAAGCCGCCAGCTGAGACCACGGTGCAAAAAGTTTAGGGGCTGCAAGGCACTGATAGCCCCCTTCCCTCTGGGGCCATCACCAAACTCTTAGCACTTGGAGGTTGGCTTGGAGGAAATGAAGGGACTCTTCCTCCTCTTGCCTTACTGTCTGAGCATTTCAAGCCTGCTGGGGCACTGCTCTGCGAAATGAGACTAGAGGTTAATAATACTTTAGGTTTCTTCTGCAGCTCCTCTCTTTGGAGAAGGCTTATTTATGAAGAAGGTACATTGGAGCTCTCTTGCCCTTTGCTGCAGTGCTCCTTCTGCTTATCATCCTGGAACTGCATATAACACTTTTAGATTTTCTATTTTAAACCCCCCCCCCAAAAAAAAAACCTGGTGGTGGAAGGGGAAACTGGGATGGTGCTGCAACTCCAGCCTCTTTTCCAAGAAAACAGCACTGACGGAAGGAGGCTTTGGGCTTCAGAATGGTCCTGCTGTGTAAGAGCCCCTCTTAAAACAGAACTTCCCCCTTTCAGGCTTGGAATACCCCATGTGTTCTTTTGCCCCCTTGTTGAACATTTTCCACCTGTGCGCCATTCCCCAGTGTCTTTTGGGTCTTGCTTTTTTGCTAGGTGTCTATTGAATACCCCCCCCTTCTCATTGAATTACAATCCCAACCCTTTTGAGACTATTCTCAGGACGCTATGTACTTTCCTGGGATGTGTAGTTGCTACATACAGTTTAGAAAAGCACAAATAATTGCCTTCTTGAAACATCCCTTTTCAGAGCTAGCTAAAGGTATGTGTTTGGTTTTTTGGTTTTTTTTTTAAAACTGCTTCTTGCAGGCTAGTGTGGAAGGAAGGCATCCCCAAGCAAAGATAATGTGCTTTCCTGGCCCTGTTCATCTTTGGAAGGGACTCTTTGGCACACACTGGGAGTAATAGCTGGAAGCAGTGTGTGCATCTAGGCTGGAATTCTACTTTCAGCACATCTGGTTCCCCCTGCAAATGTTGAGTGTGCGGCAGAATCCCTTGCAGAGCAGGGGGAGTTGCAGAGAGTTCTGGGGCACACTGTTTGTAGGGGGAGCCTGCTGTGTTGGAAGCAACGCAGTGGAGGAAGGGCTTGTCCTGGGCTGCCCGGACTACTTAGCATTGCCTAGTGTCCCCTGCCCTCTTTCCAGGAGGCATGGGGCAGGATACTTTGAGGCAGGACTGTATTGTCCCCTTCACATGTAGCTGCTCTCAGTCCTGGATGCAAGGTTGGAGCTGATGTTACTGGCTCTGCCTAAGAAGCCTGGATTTTACCCTCTTAATGCCAAGCTAAATTATAAAGGGAACTTTTTCGGTACTTTTGAAACACAACTTCTCTCTCCTTTTTATTAAATTTAAAAGATGCTGCAGGCAGACAGCCTGTTTTGTATCTTTCAATGGGTCCAAGAGGGAAGGTGGATAGGAGTCTCCAGGTTCTGTAATTCATTTCCTCTTTCAAGATGGTGAGAAAGACTCTTACATGTGTCAATTTAGCACAGTATTTTACATCCTGAACTGTAAAAAAAAAAAAAAGCGAGGCTGTCGTAGCCAAGAACGAATTAGAAGGGCATTGGTGTTACCCAGTGAAGACTTGAACCAGTGGTGGGTATAGAGAAGTTCTCACTGCTCAGAAGGTGGAGCTTCAGTGCCCTGCACAACTCTGTACCTCTTCCATTGACTACTATGCCTTGCCTTCATATTCATCTGGTGGTTCTACCTTCTTACCTGTTGCCAAGATTTACAATCCTGGGGAAAAAACTCCTAAATTTACAAATATATACCAATTGTCTTACATTTTAATATCGAGTGCATTTTATTATTTCCATTTGCGATTGGTAGATTTACAGGCTGATTGAACAGCAGTATGGAGAATGAGTTTTTGCAGATACAGGATAAGACATCACAATGGGAAATACTAATGGAGGTTGTATTCTTACCCACTTGTCTTGGTATTGTGACTAGGGATGGGCACGAACCGGGAAAATTGAGGTTCATCCTGGTTTGTGGGGTCACGTGAACCACAAACCTCCCAGTTGACTGAACCGATTCGTTTTGTGAGGTTCGTGATGCGGTGGGGGTCCTCCCTCCTTTCTGCTGGCGAAGGCTCCCTGAGGCCAGCAGAATGGAAGTGGGGTGCGATCTCCCCTCCCTCCCTTCTGCCAGCAGAGGTTCCTGAGGCCAACAGAATGCAAGGGGGGGGGGGAGAGATCTTGCAAAAGCCATTTAAAGGGAATATTCCATTTAAATGGCTTTTGCAAGCCACGTATGAGTGAAGTCCAAGCAGAGTTCACTCACTTCTGGGTGAACTCGCCACTTAGACTTCACTCGCATGCAGCGCAGCTTGCAAAAGCCATTTAAAGGGAACGTTCCTTTTAAATGGCTTTTGCAAGCCATTTGCAAGTGAAGTCCAAGCAGCAGGTTCACCTGGAAGTGGGTGAACTGGCCACTTGGGACTTCATTCGGACATGAACCTCCATGAAAAAAATATGTAGATTCGTTGCTGGCACGATCACACGACCCCCCGGCTCACAAACCATAAACCAGGCAATTTTGTTAAAATTAGGTTTGTGAGCCAGTTTGTGCCTATCCCTAATTGTGACTCACCCAGAGGTAAGTATGTGGGGTGAATTTGGAGAGGGATTTTTGAAGAATAAGCACCATTTTTACACCAAGCAAAAAGGAGAGTCTGTCATTCAGTGGAAAAACCTCTGCTTTTGGTATGTAGAAGTTTCCAGGTTCAATTCCCAGCATCTCCAGTTAAAAGGTGATGTGACAGATCTCCACCTGAGACCTGGAGAGCTCCTGCCAGTCTGAGTAGACAACACTGACCTTGATGGACCCAGGCAGCTTAACAGGTGTTCAAAGTGTGAGACAGTTGAAGGACATGGTTTTGTTCAAGATTCTGCCATTCCATCTCCAGATGCAAGTCAGCCTTTTGTGCTGTTTTAGAAATAACCAAGCTTGTGGGCAAGAATATGGGAAAGACTGGCAAGTATTGTGTTGGAAAGAAGCCTTGACTGAAAAGTTCCTTGTGGCAGTTTCTAGAAAGAAGACAAAAAGGGACTACAGCAGCGGTTCTCAACCTGTGGGTCGCGACCCCTTTGGGGGTCGAACGACCCTTTCACGGGTCGCCTAAGACCACCGGAAAACAGAAATTTTCAATTTATGATAGCAACGAAAATAATTTTATGGTTGGGGATCACCACAACATGAGGAACTGTATTAAAGGGTTGCAGCATTAGGAAGGTTGAGAACCACTGGACTACAGATTGCTTTGGCTAGAATACCCAGTGGACGGGTTCAAAATATAATATGCAAACATGAAATCTGGCATATTGTGGGATTTGGAACTTTTCCTTTCAAGTATTAATGTGATGGGTAGAAAGAAAACGAACAGAAAGAATAGTTGAGCACAGCACAGATATACTGATCCTCACACACCTGGGAAGTTTGGTGCCATAAGTTGGTACAGTTAATACGGGAAAAGGAATCAATTGTATTAGTCACAATGCAAATGCTTATATACATTTCTTAGAGGAAGGGTAATGTGCGCTCTGGTAGACTAGACCTCATTGAAACAGTGGGGCTTGAGGGCCAAATTATGTATGGATTCTGGCCCTGGAAGACAGGTTAATTCCTTGTGTGTTTTCATGATGGGAGATAATCACACCAATAAAGCAAAAATTAAATTGACAAGCTCCATGCTTCAAAGCAAATGACTACTTTGCTAGTGCTCTTTCAGTCTCCTCAGTGACCTACAGGTAGTTTCAGAGCTCTTAACATGAGTGGTTTCATACAAGCTGCTGGTACTAACTTGTTCCTGAAGAAGACTAACCCATTATGTTTGTGTGATGTCTCAGAGCATTAGGTAGGTATAGTACAAAAGGAGCATGGGGGTCATTCTGAACTAACATCATAAGGATACCATTCATGTCAAAGCAGCAGCCCAAAAAATACTGTACATTTAATAACCACACGGCCTCTATAAATTGAGTAGAATTCAGAATGAGCCATTTGACTGCAGACAGGCAATATAAAGCAGAGGTTGGGAAATGTATGGTTAATGGGTGCATTTTTATCTCATCTACCATAGTTGGGCTATCAAGTTATACAGATGGCAGAACAGGCAGGCTTTTTCCTCAGCATTTCATTTCATATGAAGTACTGACGTGCGTTGCTGTTTTCCCCCTGCAACTTCACTACAGTGCTAGCATGTGCATTCTGGAGCAGAATGCCTGCCCAAGGACCCCCACGTATGGCTACATGCCCACCCTTTGATTATAAGGACACACTCCTGCTTGAAGCAAACAAACCACTAAGGTATCACTTCATTGTAAATCACATTCTTTGTTATTTTAATTCCAGTAAAACAAAAACCAAATACAAACAGCCAACAAGATTACAAGTCCCTGCTCTCTGGATACAAAGGGCAGCCATGAGGACGAGATGCGAGGAGCCAACTCACTGCTCTGTGATAAGGAAGGACATTTGCCCTGTTCACCTCAGGGAGGGGGGGGGGAGGGGAAGACTGACAACTGGGGGCCCAGCAAAAATAAGATAAACCCACCAAGGTGGAAAAACCCAGAGCCAGCGTGCCAGCCCTTCTTCCCCTGTTTCTGAACAAGCAGAAAGACAAGCCAGATGGCAGCTGTGGTCCCTTGTCCTACTGACTACTGGTGATAAAGGAAGTAAGAAGAAACCGCATCGAGGAGTGCCGTCAGCACTACAGCAGCCAGGCCTCTCAAGCAAGGAGACAGTACAGGGGAGGGGGCAGGACCAGCCCTGTAGCCAGAAAGTTGGGGTTGGTGGGGCATGGGCAAATTTTGTGGGGCAGCGGGGGAGGAGGGAGGGGTGGCCTCACGCCTTCCCTGAACTCCATGGGTGGTTTGGCTGCTTGGAGTTCAGGCATGGGCATCCCCCACTTGAAACACTCCACTTAAAGGGTTCCCTTTAAATTGTATTTTTCAAGCGGGGGCTGCCCATGTATGAATTCCAAATGGCGATTTTGCCACTTGGGAGTTCAGGGATGGTGTGCAGCTGGCAGCCGCCCCTCTCCCTTACCTCCTGCAAGATCTAAAGGGCCTGCCGATCAGCTGGAGAGCCCTTTAAATCCTGGAGGAGGGGAGGGAGAGGGGTGGCTGCAAGACTTAAAGGGCCCTCCAGCTGACTGGCGGGCCACCGCTCTGCCGATCAGCTGAAGGGCCCTTTTAATGTCACAGGACGGGGAGAGGGTCAGTAACTGTTGTGGGGCGTGGAGGCCATTTGAGGGGGTGGAGCCCTGAAATGCCCCACTGTAGCTACAGGCCTGGGCAGGACAGAAGGAAAAGCAGCATTCCCTTTAATCCACTTCCTCCATGCGGGATGCATCTTCGTCTCCTTCTAGCGGAGGGATCTCTTCAGAGACAGCAGCACTGGGCTCCTCGGCAGCCACTTCGTCTTCATCAATACCTAGCGTTGGAAGGATTGAGTAAAGGTATAGTTTGGATTAGAAAGTCTCACTAAGCTTGTGTGTGTAGTCGTAGAAGAAAAAGGGAGCAGGCGACTGGCCTAATAAAATGCTCCTGCGGGGGGGGGGGGGCACACAAAGATAGGCATTCAGTTTTTAAAATCACATGGACTACTTCGAAGTGCTTCGTGCTGAATCCTTCAGGAAGCTCAGCAGTTCTTACAACGGCTACTCGAATAGTAGGCTAGTATTCTGCCTCTACTAACTGAGATGGAAGCACTTCACACGGTTTTCCTGCCAGCAGCTAGCACCTCAAATACCTCTTTCTGACTGCTGTAGGTTTCCCCCACCCCCAGCTGTGAAGTCACAGTGCCAGAAGAAGAGAACTATGTTTTCTCCAAGGACAGGGCTCCACCTGTTGGTTAGTACAGTAAGTGCACGTCAAGAGGGAGAGCGGGCTCTAGGCACTAGACACTGAACCTGCTCCAGGACTGAGCACATCAGGACCAACCACAAAGTCTGGAAAGCACTTCATTAGTAAGAGTCTGTCTCTTTAAGGAAAAAGAGAGCAAGATCATACCCTGAAACTCACCTAACCCCAGCTTGATCATCCTATAGATACGGTTGGAGTGAGTCTGTGGATCCTCCAGGGAGAAGCCAGAAGAAAGCAGGGCTGTCTCAAAGAGAAGCACCACCAGGTCCTTAACAGCCTTGTCATTCTTGTCTGCCTCGGCCTTCTGCCGCAGGGTCTCTACAATGGGGTGGTCAGGATTGATCTCCAGGTGCTTCTTGGCCATCATGTAGCCCATGGTGGAGTTGTCTCGTAGGGCCTGGGCCTTCATAATGCGTTCCATGTTGGCTGTCCAGCCATAGGTGCTGGTGACAATGCAGCAGGGGGAAGAGACCAGCCGGTTTGAAACAGTTACCTAGAGAAACATCATAAAAGGTTTTTTTTAAAATAATAATAATAATAATACAAGTATGCGGGGCATTGACAGTATATGGTAAGAGTAAAGGTATGTGTGCCCTGGCCTGGATGGCCCAGACTAGCCTGATCTTGTCAAGTCTCAGATCAGCTAAGCAGGGTTGGCCCTGGTTAGTACTTGGATGGGCGACCACCAAGCAAAGTCCGGAGTTGCTATGCAGAGGCAGGCAATGGCCAACCATCTCTCTTGATTTAAAATAATAAGCACGGGGGTCACCACAAGTGGGCTGTGACCTGATGGCATTTTCTACCACCACAGACACTGAAGGCAAGATCAGGAAAAATAATCAGGTGGTCACAAAGTTGCTTACCTTTTCAACCTTCTTCTCTAAGATTTCCTTCATGAGTTTGCAAAGGTTCTCAAACTTGGTCTTGCTCTCCTCCATCTTCTTCTTCTCGTCCTCATCCTCTGGCAGTTCTAGTCCTTCCTTGGTGACAGATACCAGGGTCTTCCCATCAAATTCTTTAAGCTGCTGGACACTATACTCATCAATGGGCTCCGTCATGTATACCACCTCAAACCCGCGTTTCCTCACTCGTTCCACAAAGGCAGAATTGGCCACTTGCTCCTTGCTCTCCCCTGCACCATAAAGAGGTAATATTTTGTTTATTTAGAAAAGCTGTATGCTGGACCTGCTCGAGGCTGCTCATAGTAAAACAAAACCACGCCCTACGGTGAAAGCAAATTGTAGCAGTAGAACAATCTAGGCAATAACAAAAAATACCAATAAAAAGCAAGCTGAGACATAAAAGAGCACAGCATTCTCAAATGACAGTGATAAAACATTACTCAGGCTAGAAGCAGGGCATGA